TCAGTCCGTGTACGGAGGAATATCGAAGTTGACGACCCCTCGGCCCAGGCACGGATTGCTGGGGTGAGGGTGGGGTAGCAACTGGTAACACTGCCCCTGCTCAAGCCGCGCAGTATTCCTCGAGCGTCCAACGTGCGCACGATGATATCACCGAGGATCTACGGAGCACAGAGAGGTAAGCGACGGCGCGACGGGTCAGGACGGACTCTCACTATCAGATTATGAGACCCGGCCTGACCCCACGCCGACCCCCGGCCCGGGCCCCGGGCCCCCAGGATGAGGCGAGGCGCGCGTTTCTGCGGGCGACAAATCCTTCCTGGGCGGCGGCGTCTCGGCAGCGCCAAGGTTAGCCACTTCGCAGGAAGCAAGACTAGATTTCCATGATTCTTTTTTTTTTTGGTGGAAGGGGGGAGGGATTTTCATTTGTTTTTAAATAAGAGGAGGTGCGGTCTTGGTGTAGTCATGACATGGCGTTTTCAGCACGTGGTTATCAGAAATGGTGGGAAAGAACATATTATTTAATTCTGGCGAGTCATTGCGAACATGCTCCGATTTTCTAATTTCCCAAAAAGATTACAACTTAACTACATGGTTGGATTGTATTAGGGGTCGGTCTATCATCGAGCCTCGTGGGGGCGTGCTGGACTTGTTGTCTAGCAAAGCAAGAGGGTCCGCGAGGCAGCGTTCCATACCCGCTGCACCCCTTAAAGGAGTACAATACCCACACCAAGAAAACCGAAAATCTGTTGAAACCATCCTATTTGGTTACTTCACGAGCCACCACAAAATATGGTTGAGGGTGACAAAAGCACTGGTGTATCGACCAAAGATACGGTTGTCACCACACTGAAAACCGACGCGCACTGGCACGCATCTCCACTCGCCAGAGTATGTTCTCTCTGCTCTATTTTGTCACCACGGCAGCAATATGGGTTAGGTCTGACCTGGCAGGGCAGGCCCTCTGGTGCATCATTTGTGCTGCAGTTAATGCTCTAGCGTGTTGCGCCGGTTTCTCTCTTTCTCTCTCTCAGCGTTCCGGGACACTTCTGGCCGAGTGCAGTGTAAATACCGACGACGCACACCTCCACGCGGGCGGGCGCCCCGCCGTCGTTCCACTAGCTTCCTCACGGAAGTTCCGCAAATGTTGACAATCCGTGAAAAATGCACGGCCTTCCGCAAAAAGGTAGAGGTCGTGCAAAGATGGTGAAAACAAAAGAATGAGTACCAGGACCAGGTGGCTGAAGTCATCCCACGCAGTTCAGCCGATGCAAGCTCTCTTAGCGCCTGACAGATAGGCAACATCGTGCCTGCAGTGCAGGCGTGTATTGTGGGTTGGCCTACCCTGCTTCTCGCAGGCGCCGGGGTTCCGTAATTTGCCAAATGACACGAGACGTCCGCCAAGCAATGGCCCACGCAAGAAAGACAGCATTTTTTGTTTATTATTCGAATGTATGTTACTAAAATAATTAGAATTGTTTTGTTCCAGCAGCAAAGTCTTTGCGCGCACCTATTTTGCAAAAGAATAAAAAATAGCTCACGGGCATAAGGGTTCTGTCGACCAGGCCACAAAACCTGAGCGCAGAGCAGGCCTGCCCGAAAAGCACCGTAGTCGCCACACCCAACCCTCCAGCCCGGCCCTGTTCTAAACGAGAAAAAGTAAGGAAAGAGTGGAGGGGCGGCGGTGGGGGGCGTTCCTTCTGGTAGAGACAGTTTGGGGACTGTCTAAAGAGTCTCCTATCGCAGTAAGTAATAAAAAAAATCCTCTGAATGGAACTTCTTGTCCTCGTTGCTACAAATTTTGCTAAAAAAGAAAACAAATGACATTTTCTTTTAACAAGGGTTGACGGCAGAGGTCCGAAAAATCGTCCCAGTGCGACCGACCAATCGTGCCCACCGGCTCGGTCACTGCCTGCCTCCGACCAGCGGCTCGTGTGGTCGAACGCACTCCTCGCCGCTTGACGCCACCGGCCGTCGCTGGCAGCGGTCCATGGTTGCACGTGACGGTGGGCTCTGATTGGCTGATCCGGCCGCGTGGTGCATCTTCGGTGTGATACCGACGATGACATCGACAATCGGTTGCCGACCCAAGTCAAGTCGAGAAGCGTGGCCTGGAGTAGCGCGACACAGGCGACCACGCGTGGACGTTTAACTCTCGTTGACGATTGTCGCTCCAGCCGTAAGGCGCCGAAGGTAAGAAAGTTAGGAAACAATAACCAAACGCGCTATGCACGCGTGCGGGTGGCGCAGAATAAACTAAGAGCGTGGACCTTGTAATATAGAAAATTCATTGAAGCAATCGATCCTTTGATCTGTCCGTGCGATTCAAACCAGTGTCTGCGTCACACAGCCTTCCTTCTCGATATGGACTTTGACCACAATCTCATTTTAATATTTTCTTTGCGATAAAACATGAAAAAAGAGATCGTTTGGGAGCAAGCAGAGGAACCAACGCGTTTTTAAAAAAAGAAGGGCGTGTGACCTCACCTTATTAGCACAGCTTTGGAAGATAGAGGGGGGAGGTGGGGATTTTAGCAAGTTCTGGGCGGCAGAGCGCTCTACGGCTGATGGAGAAAGAAACCATTCATCCGGTCAAACAACCTCTCCGCCATCAAGGCAACCACCCAATGAAGACGCAAACGCAGGGCACTTATCCACCTGCCACCTTCGACCTTCTCATCACAAACAGTCCACACAAGCCTCTGGTTTCAGGTTTAGACATGGAGGGACGGCGGAGGGACCGCAGTTGGACTGGGGTAGCGAGCCAGCGAGGCCCGCAGGCCCGCAACGAGCGAGCATCGGGTGCTCGTTTGGTCGGAAAACGAGAGGCGGGAGTGAGAGGGAGCTATGTTCCGGTTCGGTCATTTCACTCTCACCTGTCGTTTTCGGACCAAACGAGCATCAGATGCTCGCTCGTTCCGGTCCTCTGGCCTGGGGCTGCCGGCTGCCGTCACATCCTCCCCTTCTCGTGGACCTCAAAAAGCCGCCTGAAAGGTAGGCAAATTGTGCCTCAAAGACCTTAAACCAAACCGACCAAACACCTCAGGATTATTGGTATAGAGGTATGCATGGGTCGTCGATCCAGGTTGCCAGGCGAGGGATGCCTTGGCTTCGCGCGGTCGATTCTAGACACTTGGACACTTCACTCGAACCGACTCGAACACTACACTCGGATACTGACGCTACACTTTTGAACATTGTACTTTGAACACTGTACTGACGACACTAACACTGGACACCGAAATCCTGACCTCGTTGCACTTCCACCCCGACGCTGTGTAGCCCACGCTGGAGTCTGGCTGGCGCCGTGGCGCCGTAGAATCACCCAGTCACAGGCACGCCCGACAAGCGGGGCGGAGTGGACTCATCGCCTGACCTCGCCCAGCCGACTGATTCCCCATACCTTCCGTATAGCTCCATCCTTGTCGCACTCATGGGGCAGCTCCCCTTGAGCGCTCTTTGGAATCAGTCTGCTGATGCTGCCATTTGACGGACGCAACCACAAAATTTAATAAAATCACTGATAATTCCCCGAGTTTGAGCCATCAAAACGGCACAAGGAGCAGCACGGAGCGCGTCGACCCCTCCATCCCTCCGCCGGGACCGCGGATTTATGTCTTCCTTTCTCGCGTCATCCTCCTACGTGAGGAGTATAAGATCGTGGACCTAGGTATTCTTTCACCGATGATTGAGAAGACAATGTTCACTCACTTTTCTGGAGACATGGTCTCTGTTAAAAGCAGAGCTCACAGGCTGGCAAGGCTGGGGTGTTGTGATGCGCGCTAAGGCTTATTTTTCCCGCGACGAACAACACAAGGGCTCCAAAACGACGCCAACCCTGCAAAATGAAAGAAGTAGTTTTACTGGCCAGAAATCTCGTCTAAAAC